GAAATTTAATAGCACGCCTTGCGTTTGTCTGCTGTTGATTCTATTCTGTGTGTTTTGTGTTTTCGTGTGTGTCGTGTATTATTTTTTTAATGTTTGGTGATGCATGTCCCGTGTCCGCGCAATAATTGCATCGTGCGTTTGTTCGCCGTGCTGCGCCGCGACGCGTTCAATGTAAAGGTCGTTTTCGACCCGTTCTCATAACTGGGATGCGTAATTAGACTCTATTTACTAACTAGCTGCGAAGCAGCGCGCAGAGCAAACGAACAAAATGGTCAAACTAGTTACACACATGTCACGTGAACAAAGCGTATGTGACAAAACTCTTTTCTTTTTTCTAAATAAAACAGACAAGATACAAATTGTAGATTCAAGTTTTTGTTAGGTTAACTATCAATTAATCAACACGTGTATTAATTGTTCTATTTGTAGAAATGAAAATAAGAATATTGTCTATCGTATTGGTTTAGATAGCAAAATATATTGCTAACATTAATTACAATTACATACCTTACAGTGTAATTGAAATAAATTGTTCGTTGTTTCTCTAATGGAGTTTTAATTGTTTAAATCGCATAAAAAAACTTTTTTCTTACAAAAAATTTGTTAAAATCATCAAAAATCTTAAATTCTCCAATTTTTCACTTAAAAATATTATTATGATACAATTTCATCATTTTATCAAAATACATTTTGATTTTGAAGTGTGTATGTACTCTGACTTGTGATTAAATTAAATTTTGGCGTCGCCGTCGTACTCGAGGACAAGCGTGAGCGTAATTTAATAATCGAATTAATTGCATGTCACAAATTGTGCGCTGATTAGAAAAATATACACTTATGTTCTACGTTGCTTGTTTGAGAGAGATTTTTTTACGGCAATCATTGTTATCTCTGTGTTTTTGGCACTCGAGAAGTGAATTTTGATTGGAAAGTTATCACTTATCACATTTGCCCCCGAAACTGAAAACGACATCGATTTATGACGAAATGTTCAATGCTATAATATAATAAACGCAAAAATAAGTTTGTTTGTATCTTTGTGTCGGTTTCACGCAAAAAATAAAAATGAAATTTTAATAAATTTTGGTTAAGAGATAATTTTGACTAAGGAAAAGAAAATAGGCTACTTTTCGTTGCTAAAATATAGTTTTAAGGGTGTAAAATAAGGGATTAAAGTTTATATGGAGAATTAAGCATAGTTATAGTTATAAACTTCGAATCTAGATGGCGCAAAATTCATTTTCCTCATTTTTAAAGTTAAAATAAAGATTCTTCATTGACTAAACCATCAAAGGGGCAAAAGAGTAATTAATTAATCTTTATTTCATTAAAATCAACGCCGACAAAGTCCTACGCCTAAGCTAAATAAATATAAATAAATAAAAATGTCTATTTGTTTGATTTCTCATTAACTAAATGAATACCTTGTATTAAATGACACATCTCCATATTCAAGGACTGTTTAACTTCGCCACCCTATTTCTATTTCAACATTGACTCTTCGTATTTGATTAGACATTCGATAAATTCCGGACTTTCCAACACCTCAAAAGCCACATAATGAATAATTCATTAATTTAATGGAATAAATTTTCCACACATCGCTTATATTCCCAAACGCATTTCTATAAGAAACTAATACTCGTGATTTAGTAATCGAATTTATTTATTACTCGAAAATGTTATTGATTGATGCGCTGTCGTGTTATCGCTTGTTGTTTAATCTCTATCGCCTGCGTTGACTTTTGATTGCTATTAAATAGTAAACAGTTTGTTTTCATCAAACTTTCATCATTCTTAATCATATTTACGAAATTAATGAAAAATCACTAGTTTTACATCTTAGTAAGCAAAAAATATTCAGATTACTCAATTATTTTGTGTCATAACAAAAACGAAAAACTATTTCATTGATGGCCAGCTTTAGTCTAGCATAAATTCAACGTCGAAGCTGCTTATTAGAACTGATTAGAACCCGACTCATAATTAAAGTCAGCTGAAACCGGTATATCTTCTCTGTTCTGCTCTCAGTTGTTCTGAGTATTCGAGGCTTAACTTAAAGAACAATCTTTAGTTCTAACACAAACTAAATCAATACACACACACACGCAGCATAAAAATATATTTCGCGGTTATACCTTCGAGACTTCGAGACTTCGAGACTTAATTTGAAATTATTTAATTTTAATCTCGGTTTGGAGACTTGAAGCAAACAGAGTTGTAAAGTCAAGGTCGTGGGTGTACACTGTTGGAACTTTGCACGACTCCAAAATGCGAAAAAATAACACTGCGCCCGAGGACACACTCATCGTAGATAAGAGATTTTTAGCAGAGAATGTTTAGTCGAAAGTTTAGAGGGAATTTCACGCGTGGTTTTATCAGCGTGAGATGGAATGTAGACGCCACTGTACGAAATATGATATTTTAGGTGAGAAGCATTTACATTTACACTGCGCTACATCACTGATAAACTCACTCCCTACCAATGCACATACTCGTAAGTAACTTAAGTCATATTACGAGTCTACTTGTGTAAATAATCGTATCACATTTACACATTTACGAGTGTCACGAGAATTAAGTAATATAGATAACAATTGTGCATGTATTTTTTTTAATTTTAAATTTATTATCATTGAAATAAAATAAAAATAAAGATGTCATAATATTAATTACTATCAAACCGATAGTAAATAGTATTAATAAATATAATATCTATATTAATATCGCACGTGTTTTATAATATAATTTTAATAAATTTTATTAATTTTATAAATTGGTTTACCTGTAATTGAATAATTTGATTTCCTCGCATTGTTGTTGTTGTTATTGTGATTCCAACAAAACAAATACGGATTGATTGGCATCGCCATGCGCGTGGATATTGTCGAGGGTAGATCAAACCATTTGGGTATTTGTGGTAAGGCGCCACCCACGGTGAAGAGATCACTCGCGTACATATTTGTTTATTAATGTAGTAATTTAATAATGTAATTCAGCGTGTGAGCGGCAATTAATTCCGAACGTGTTTAGTCTGTGTGTGCACGTGATTTAAGGCGAGTGAAACATATTGTTGGCGCGTTCGCGTAACACTGCGGATAAACTGGAGGTGTTATGCTGAGGTCTCTTGCGAATCGATTGATAAGAAGCAGATAAAGTGCAATAAAACGAAATAACAGCGTGTTTTTGTTGTAAACGCACAGCGTAAAAACCAGTTCAGTGTTTTGTATGTAGAAATATTAAGAAATTGAAGAAATAAATGCATTTAAGTTGAATTAAGTGTAAAATAGTTGGAAATTTGGTTTTTATAAGAGGAGAATTAAAAAATTAAATTTATTTAGAAAATTATAAAAATTAAATAAAATGTGTTTGATAAGGTTATGTCGTTTGACATTATTGAGTGCTTTATCTTTTAATAATTGATTCAGAAAGGCATTTCTATTAGGCAAAATATTGAGAAATAAAGATTTAAATGAGAAATCAATTTTTTCTTAAAAATAAAATGAAAAATTTTAAATTAATTACAAATAAAGGCAATACTTGCAATTTAAAATAAATTGTAATACCATACAATATAAAATTAAGATAAATAACTATATCAGTGATTAATTTAACTGAATAAAAACCAAACCAATTTTATTTTACTTAATTCCCTTTATTTGTCAAAGAAAATTTCATTTTTTTTCATAATTAAGTTATTAAAACATAAATATAAAACTACCATTTGTATATTTCACTTCATAGATACTAGCAGCCGCAAAAGATGCTCTCAAAGTTTGTTCTCTCTCATAGATTGTAACTATTTTCGTGCGCAGCGAGCGCAGGCCGCAAGCATTCGCTCGTGCGTTATATTTTTACTTGGCGTTATGACGTCCGAATTGCCGAATCTTCTCCACGAATAAATCCCGCGATCCCATCTTCTATTGCTTCTAAACCCAACTTCATTATACTTCAAATCACATGCTTCCACACACATGACGCACGCTCACAAAACTATAAACTCTCTTAAAATTTCCAACGCACAAAAATTATGATTGTGTGCATTTTGAGATGTTGAAATGTGTGTGCCCGATCGGCTACGGGAAAAGTTCATCCGCATTTCATTGGCAAAGGCGGCTCGATCGCGATTTGACATTTAATCGCCGCCGCCGCAGCCGGGAGGCTGCGTTTGTTAAGTGTGACATTCGTCAGCCATTGGCACTTACTCCTAATACACAACATCTCTAAATTTTTTTATTTATTAAAAATAAAGAAATAAAAACAAAAATAAAATTATACGGATTTAAAATGAAGTTGTTCGCAGTGTGGAAACAGATCTAATAATATGCCTAACATGCCTACAATATTTTTGTTATCCGAAACTTTTATTAGACTTCGGCGGGTTAAAATAAAACTGGGCGGCCAGGCGGACAGACGTTTTCGGTGGGTCGGTCGGTCATGCGCTCACAACATCACAGCGCATTTCAAATAAATTAGCTCCTATTTTAAAAGTGTCCGAATGCGAAAACATTCATAAAAAATCTATTCTATTTTTTTTCTATTTCTTGTAAAGCAATAAAAATAGAAATTTTTGCGTTTTGTTTCTACGAACAGAAGAAAACTGGTTAATTCCAGTGCGGTGTGCGGCGTGTACGGAATTTAAACATTGTAAATTGTTTGAGTTTGAGTTTATAAGCCGGTCGGTGTTCCTGCGAGCAACCGTGTGACTTCTCCAGCTGGGCGCAAGCGCAGCGCGCGGCTGACTCGGCAGGAAAACATGTGACCGGCCGATTCAACGACAATTTACACTAAAAATTTCACAAAACCTCAGTGAAATTAATGTTTTTCTCGTATTTTTATATGTAGAATGTTTGTTTGATGGATAATTCGTGAGTTGTTTGTTTGCGGGCGGGGTTCGATTTGTTTTCGACGCGTAGGCGGCAGCCGCAACCCTCTAGCTGCGCATGCGAAGCACGCGGCGGGTGTTTTTCAAGGGCACGGATCGAATGGGTGGTACTCACCGTTGATGAGAGGAAAGTTGTGCCCCGGATGTCCCAGGAAGGACTTGAGGCCACTTTCGAGGAGGATGGGCGACCCCCTGTCCTTGTAGCTCATCTCACTGTCACTGTCACTGAAATACTCGGAGCGCGGAATCTTGGCGGCCGTGGTGGTGGCGTCGGGCGCAGCGCCGCCGCGCGCCCGCTGCTCGCCGACGAGATGGATGAGAAGAAGAAGAGGGTGCCGATGACACCGGTGTTACGGCTGTTGATGCCGGCGGTGGCGGTGGTGCGCCCGCAAGGGCACCGCATTCAACGCGTATCCTGGGGGTGTGGTTGAGGGGGGTGCTGGTTGGTGGGTGGATGAATGGCACTGCACTCGCGGCACGCGGTTTTCGATGTCGTCGGCTTCGCGGTGTTCGCGCTGCGCTCGCCTGCTCGCCTGCCGGCTGGCTTCTGAGCGCGGGGACGCCCGACCGCCGGTGAGGACCCACGCGCGCACTACGCGCAATCAATTCGTCGGACGAAAATAGTTCGCTAGCGACGCGGAGCGCGACATCGCACGTTGGAGCAGAGGTCTGAGCGCCACAGGGCACTCCTGCTGCTGCTCCAGGTCGCGCACATGGTTTACCACGCCGATAACACCACTGCCACTGATAACAACAGTCCCATTGCACACACCGTACACCCGTGAACACCGAAACTTTACAGCAAATTAAAGTTTTAGCTTTGATTTGATTTGATTTAGGTACGAACTGAAGTAGCGTTTTAGCGGCTGCAGGAATGCGTTTGATCGGTGGTGGCGGTGTTACGAAATCCGTCGGCGACCTAACCAATATCGCGTCGTGGTGGCGTGCGCGCCGTGCGTGCGAGCTTTGCGGGGGCGGCAGAACTCCGTGAGCTTCGGACGATATCGGGGGCGGCTGGGCCATGGGCTGCGCGTGCAATTCTGCGCGCCAACATACTGCATGCAGTCATGCATCCAACACAATTTTAAAACCAAACACTTTTCAATTATTTTAAAAAACAAAATCCTTCAATAAAATATTTAATTATTTAATTATTAATACATAATCACTTAATATTGGTAAGTTAATAACCTTGATAATATTTTTAATAAATATGTATCCACCAATTTGTGTTGTCACAATACGTTAAAATGCTAAAACTCTAAAATTATACATTTTAAAATTGATAATAAGGAAGTGCAACATTTCAGCGTTGTCCTACAATTTACTGACGCCACAAACATTACTAAAACTTTGACATCGTTTATATTTCTACAACTTACACCATACAGATATAATAAGTTTTAAAGCGAGGCAATAAAAACGTCCTTGACGTCGCAAATCGAGCGCATAATCCTCCAAATGTCCTTACGGTACAAATTCCTCCTGCTGGAAATAAACTCAATAAGTGTATTTGATATTTAACATAGGCAACTTTTTATACACCAAATGTAAACACAACACTAGCAGAACATGAAAAAAATGACAAATTTTAAGTAAAAAGCTTGATTATATGTTTATTAACTTATGAATTTTGCAGATAGAGCCTCAAATTTTATCATAAACGTTTAAAAATTACAATAATTTTAAAATCTTAACACATAGACACTTAAAAACTTAATTAAAAGTATAATGCACATTACAAAACTGTTTAAAACATAATTTTACCTCTAAAAATCTATGTTTAAATAAATATTGTACATTTTATTGTAAAATTTAATATTAAAACGTTAATCAAGTTAATTATCAGCAAAATTAACACTAGTATTATTAAATATTAAGTTTTAAGTTAATAGAAACTGTATGTTTTTACTTTACACTACACAATATCACAATTTATTTGTTTGCGTTCATAAATTAATCAAAATTCAACTGAACCACAACTTGCATTCAAAATTTTCATTGATAAATTATATTTATTGATGTTATGGCATAATATTCATAATATTCAAGGTTCTAAACCCATAAAACCGGTGCTTTTTCAGTGAGGACCAAACAATTGCCTGAATCAACCGGTGAAGAACTCCACCTCTTGTGCAAAACAGTAGGAGTCTCCCAAAGTTTAATATCATCAGCAAATTGTGCAAAAGTATTATCATGAGATGTATTTGTGGTTGTATCGTTGTAAGGACTGCGTTTATCCAACGCAAAGTTTCGAAAATCTTCGTATAAATTCGAATGCGGTTTGGGTGTTGACCTGGCTTCCAGAGTATGATCAACATGGGGTATACCCACCTCTTGGAAAGAGTTCATTGAGCTGAAACCACTCTCATCTTCAGCTGAACCAACGCTGGACACTGGAGGTGAATTGGATTTCTCATAATTGTCAAATTTTGCGAATTTTTCAAATTTTTCAAATTTATCCAGCTTAAAACCTTTCTTTTCTTTATCATCTATCATAGTACTTGTGAATATCTCTGTGGCATCAATCATGCTTGATCTTGAAGATGTAGATTCATTAGATCTGTTCATTTTGCTAACTTCTCTTAAAAAAGAGTTTCTCCTAACTGTATCATTCAACTGCAGAGAATATTTTCTACTAAATGTTGTTCCTGTTGCAGCTGGACCATTAATAACACCAGATATTTTCTCTTTTTGTTGTTCTTTATTAATAACATCCTTGGATTCTTGATTTTTATCATTTTTATGCTCAGAAAAACGTTCAGGTTTCTCTGGTGTTAATAATTTAGGACACAGTGAAAACGATGTAGCTCTTTGTGGTAGTTTAGTGCCTTCATGTGAAGGAAACTCTTTAGCTAATTGAGAAAGGAATCCAATGTCTTCTTCGATAGTGGGGGCGGCAACATGCGCTAAGTCCGGCTCGTGGGTGCTCAATAAAGATTGAGCTGTCCGGAGCAGTCTGTAAGCTTCTTGTGATAATTTCTCAGGGGGAATTTCTTCTAAAGAAGGTTCAGATTTTTTCTTCCAACGCCTAAAAACGTTAAAAATCAAATTATAAACAATCAAATAAAATAAATAAATCAAAAAACCTACCATTCCATTTCAGATGATGTATCAAGTAAAGTATCAGCTGAATTGTTAATAAAATATTCACTTTGTGGTCTTGGCAGCCTCGTATTGGACTTGATTCTTGTCCCAAGCAGTTCCAAACTTCTGTGAGCACGTTCCAAAAAGGTTACGACTTGTCTCATGACAGCTCTATACATTTCACGTGATGATTCAGTCTGGAAACACATTTATCACAATTAAAATAAATAATTTCGCACATTTTAATTGATTTCTTATCAACTTACTTCCTTCAGCTGCCATTGTAATGTATTCACTTGTGATTGCAGATAAAAGTGTTCAACTGGTGAGTCAGCAATGCGAATGTTATTCGAGCATAAAGAAGTACGACGACTGCTGTTGCTTGAAGCTGTGCTGCCCCCATGACTCCCAGAACTTCCCTGACTTCCATTGCACGCATTACTCGCGTTCCAACTTTGATTTCTTAAATCCTGCAACGTAAAAAATAAGTCATTATATTTTTGCGTTTTGCTGTGAATAATCAGAGCGCAATATTTATTTGAATAGCTGATTGTGTCACTTCCTGTGATTGAAATCGTCGTGTAGGTTCTTCGCGAATGATTCCGTTATCGAACGCATTATGACGAAATGTCTCGAACGGATGAGGACGAAAATTTGTCATGCAAGGATGACAATAATGCGTAAGAAATAATTACGATTCCAACAAAGCGTACAAATATTTTCCTTTTTCGTTTCTGTGTGAGTGTTTATGAAGTATTTCTTCTTTTTTTATATATGGTGTGATTTATGAGCGTAATATCTTTGAAAAGTGCGCACAATCCGTTCACCTAATAAGTTATGTAACTTGTAAACATTAAATCAACGCGATAATCGTGATTCTTGCAAAGTGAAGAAAAGAGATAAGTAGGTATGAAATCTTCGTGAATGCTTCCTTCAAGGAAAGAAATCTATCTTGATTCTTGAATCAGCGCGCTTCTAAATGAGGAGCAATCGTGTGGTAAATATGGTAAAAGGAGTGCCTCGCCTTCTTGGTGTGGCCTTCGTGTAGATATTTTTTATGTGTGCAATTATTTGCAACTTAACATAAATAACAAATAGGATACGCTAAAAAAAATCATGGGAAAAGTATCTCAACGTTGAATTATAATCGCATTTATCTACAATCGCATGATTTCATTCGTTAAATATGTTGAAAATAAATTAAAACTAACCAAACATAAATATATACACTATATATACACTTGTGTGTGTTGTGTTGCATACATCAAGCGGTTTAAAACACAACAACGGCATTTGGATTAACTTCAAAGCGTTGTTCCACGACAGAAAATGCTTTTTTGATGATTTATGATCATCATTATGCCCTAGTTGTATAATACACTATAATTTTGCAATCTTTTTATAAAACACAGCGAAAACTAGTAGTACGATAGTGAAAGGGAAATAAGTATGCATAAAATAATTTTTACGATGCAAAATAATACGCGTACACGTACAAAACCTTAACGCATTGAAACATTAAAGTCAGAAGTAAAACGCGGTTAACGTAGTAAAATTGCAAAGTAAATAAATGCGGTTGATTGTTTCCATGCTCGAATTCATCAGGTGCAATATTTGCAACGATACCATTTTATTACTGATATAATAGCTATTACTTTGTTATGGCCCGTTGTGCACGATAAAAGTACATTTAAAAATGCTATCACTAAAAAACAAAATAAAACCAAGAATAAAATAGCTAATAGTACCGTTTGTTGTTGCATCTTCCGTATTTGAGTTCCTTGAAAGGTATTTCCCACAGCAAAGACCGTAGAGTTTGACGAATGTGAGAAAATCTGCGAGTGAGCACAACAGTTTCAACACATTGTTTGCCGTCTTAATTATTTGCGCAAAACTATAACTGATTTTTTAATTTTTTAATTTGCACTTAAATTTACAGTTGTTTCAAATCCACTGAGATATAAATAATGTTTATTTACATTTCGTAGTTTTAATTGAACGTTACATTCCTTGCAGTGATATAAACCATACGGTGTTTTCCGTGTCTTCATCGTTTTCCGTATTTTCCACTTTTTAGTGTTTCCTGTTGCATGCGTAAATTAGTACAGACTGTCACAAATTCACATCAAAGCAATTTTCCTCCATACTTCAAGTCTCGAGTGACTTTCTGTGAAATTCATATTTCAAAAATGTTTGCGTGTGTGTGTCGGAGCCATTTTCCAATTTTCCACGAGCAGAGCGCGCGCGCGCCGCTCATTAAACTAATAATAAAAATAAACGACTCGAGTGACCAGAACAACCGCGCGACAGGATGCACAGCGAGTTAAATGTTAACTCAAAGTTTGACTTAAGACGTGACTCGGGAGTTGTTATGCATGCGCGTAATTCTAGATGCGCGCCGGCGTGCAGAAGTACGAAATGGCGCAGGGTATGATGGATGGCGGCGACGGAGTAAATTTAAACTACGCCGTCCCACGTCGTTGCCGCTCAAATCCACCGTGCTTCCACATTGGCATCGCGCAAGTCACAACGACTTAAGTTAACTTAAGACACACATTAGGTCTCATAGGGTTTAAATATGTTTATTTAACATTAAACATTTGATAAATACTATAATATAGCGTTCGGTACTTATACCGCAAGTCAAAAATATGATTTAATTTTAAAATACTAACGAAATATTATTGATGTGGTTGTTTGTTTGTACATATGTGCGAACATCTGTTGAAAAAGTGACTTTAATGTTGTTTACGTAGTAAATGTATCTTTATGTAATGCCGTTTCGGTGCGATGTGGTTTTTTATGCGCAATCTTGCGCGCCGAATGTGGGACGCTTTTCTTCAACGCCTTAAATGGTCAAACAATGCGCACAAAAACATCCAATCGGCCTTGCAAGTTGCAACTTGTCACACGGCGAGAATATATTGGCTTAATTAATGTCAACATGTTTTAAAACTTAATTATCGCAAAAACTTTAAAATTTTCCTTGAAATTTTAAGGTTATGATTACATTTATGATTACATTTCTTTATTACTTAATGTCTGGGTTTTATATCTGTATACAAATAAGATTTACCGTATTTTACTTCCTTTCTTGCTTTTTTAGTTCTTGGGGTTTTGCAAATTGTCATATTCTTGAAGAGTAATTTCTGTTATTTCTGTCATTTGAGGCATTTGAGTCATTTTAGTAATTCTCACAACATTACTAACCTACTTAAGTTTTTATGACCAACACTGTGTTTATTTTTGCAATAAATTACTTTCTGAACCATCATTAGACAATAACAATATAAAAATAAGAAAAAAGTACAAAGTGTAATAATCGTAACGTTTTTTTTAATCTGGAAGACAACTAATGACAATAACATCAAATTTTTCTAAATAAAAACGGTGATTGAAACTGTACTCAAGTAATAAGTAAGTAAATAAAATACTCGTTACCAAAACAAACAATAGGTATAATTATTTCTTATATCTTAAAATAAAAATAATAAAAAAGAACAAAATGAAACGTCTGTTATTGAATTTAATTAATTTAAATGAATAAGCATTACTGACACACTGACTAAATGTTATTTCACTATTCATAAACTAAAAATAAATTGTTTTGGATAATTATATTCAAGTTTTAATTTTGCTATTGTTCCATTTGCTATATTTCCATCTATGTTCATAGTTGGTAATGTATCACAGTACAGTTATGCATTTTTGTTGTCAAATTTGAGGCGTGCACGCGATCCACGAAAAGTTGCACGACCTTCTCCCGTCGACGCTTTGAATTAATAAATGCCGTAATAATGGCATAATGGCATAATGCCATATTGCCATAATTCTACAATGCCATCATGTACGACCGGTATTAAATTAACACGCCAAAAATGGACACAATGCGCTTTTTTCGCCTCAATTTTGTTCCATCATTTTTATTAACTGTTATGATGAGAAATTCAGATTCATCATGATAATAAATTTAGGTTATAACTAAATTATATTTTAAATTAATGTTTGAATTAAAATTAAACCGAAATATAAAAGATATTTGCATAAAAATTCATTTATTTCAAAAAATATAAAAAATGTGTTATGTTCTGTACTTTTACTGCATCTCAAACATTATTTTTTTACATTTTGAACTTTTGAAATGAATAAAACGTGTCTATGCACATAAAACTCATGCAATAACGAAAATTGCCGCAACATATACATTTTCTATTGCTATTCTATTGCAAGCCAAAGCAATAATCATAATTTCGTCGACAGCGATCGTCCGATCGAATCTCCCGATTGAATTTTCAACGGTTACTGACCAGCCTCCCAGTAATAGAAAATTCCACCTCGCCAACGCACGCGTAAACGCAAACGTGAAATGATCATATCAAACACACGGCGAGGCTGCGATTTTAACAATTTATTCAAACTTGCGAAGTAATCATGAAATAATAGAAAATTGTTATTGCCTGGCTAAATAAAGTTAGTATAATGGTATATGTGGTTGCAGAACGAGCAGATATGTCGTGTTGGTTGCCGTGCTAATATCGCGCATTGCGAATCTAACAACTTGCGAATATCGTAAAATTGCTCGCTTACTAGGAAGCAAAATGTCAGAAGTAAGCGAAATGCGATGCAAATTGTGCAAATTGTGCATAAACTCAATCACAGCCATCGACCTGCTATATACGCTCGATGAGTTAATTGAAAATTGCAATTACACTGTGCAAACATTGATTTATTACGTAAATCACAAAGCACGATTTTAATTTCATTCAAAACTAACCTAAAAAGTGTTAGATTACTGAATTTTCATATTTTTTGTATCAAAAATTATTATAGTAGAGTATTTTTGAATGTAAAATGCCAAAAAGTAAGTTTTATACCAAAGTAGCTGCTGTATATTCGTAATTTTATTTTAAAAAATGACAAATGCTAATAATGCACTTTAGCGCCACCTTGAATTCAATTATTTAACTAAAACTATGATTGAATCCTACTAAAGTTTAATTCCTTATTTAGCACCCTTCAAGTAATAATTTTTAATATTTTTATACTTATTCTGCTATTCCAGGCAGAGATGAATCCAACAAATCATTGATCATTGAAATCTGTCCAGCCATTCTTAAGTTATAACTGCTCTAACTAACCCAATTTTATTTTAACCAAATATATAACATATTTTAGTGTTTTATGAAAATAAAAATATGTACTTTGCATACTAGGGATCAAAATTATCTATTTGCACATCTATCACGTATTATGCATTTTCTAAGATAAAAAGTAATAAATTAGTTCATTTTATAAAATTTAATAATTTCCTCCTTATAAAATGAAAGATTAATGTTGGTCCTTGGAGCGTGCGCCAGATTGGTACAGCTGATATAAATACATTCTTCGTGCGGTGAAAACATGTAAACATCCTGTTTCGTACAAGGTGGGAATTTTCGAAAGAGTCGCAACAAAATTGCGAGCCGATCGA